GGGGGGGGGGATGGGGGGAAGCAGACACACAACCGACCGAGCAAGCGACCGAGGCGCTAGCTACTTGCTGATTCTAGCGTCACGATGCCGACGTCGTTGTGAAGCGTTGCAACGGCACCGTTATGGCCACATGCCAATAACATGTATCAACATTACCACAACCCCAGTTTGAAATCATTGTACATGTTTCTTACTAAATAGTATACTGAGCTACACTTACGATGCATGACAATGGCAAGTGCAGTTCAAATGTTCCATGTCCGTTGTCCGTACACAGTTTGTCAGCATCCTCTTTATTATCCTCTTCTATTTGACAGTCACATACTTCACACATTGGCCTAATAAACGACTAATAAAGAATGGAAGAAACGAGCTAAAACAAACAATACTGTAGGAAGGAGATAGAAGAAAACTGGTTATTTTATTGTTGAATTTTAAAACGAAAATCATCCAGTCACGTGTTAGGTGACGTGTTCTGTTACAGATTCATGCCATCTCTTCAGTCATTTCTCGAAACTTCTTCCCCCACAGACTTGCATACCATAATTCGTTTCGGTCTTGATTTCGTTGATGATATAATTAGTCTGTAAACCTGCATTTCTACCCATAAATTTAATTTCTTATGCTGATAGCCTCTTTTCACATTCTTTTCTAACATTCGTGTTTAACAGCAAACAAACACGAAAGAAGAACGGAAACATGGGCGGATAGATGGAAACAGAAGGAAGAAAGATGGAAATAAAAAATGAAAGGAAGAGGTAAACGACTGATTTTAGTATTTAACTTCATGTAAACAGTCATAGCAAAGCTAACAATCGCTCAGCTAGTCAATACAGACAGCGCCTTTTTTGCAACCAAAAAATCCGAATACGTTCTACCATTAAAAAGACAAATAAACAGATAAGCGTACGTAATAATTAGTAGACAAAAATTCAATGCTCAAAAACTTTGGTTTTATATTTAAGTTTCCACAGAACACAAAGCCCAAGATGCTGTACCGTGATCTGCTTGAAAGCTGTGTAAAGTCTATCGGGAAACCCGCCAGGTCTCCACTCAGTTCTAACGTCATATATCAGTGCAGGATGGTTATGACGGAGCAGTTTTTGCCGATTTTCTACTTCTAAAATACTAACTAACCGTATAAGGCATCCTACAGCCAGAAATGTGTCTTCCCCCCCCCCCC